CATTCACTCTGTGACCTCAGGCTTTTGGGGTTCCACAAAGTTCCCTGAGGCCCTCATCAGACACCCCAACTTGCCGCCGGATCTTGCTGCTCAGAACCTGGCTGCATGTGAGCCTCCTTTTGACACAAACCCCAAAGGTTAGAAATCTGATGATGCTAAGCCATCAAAAAGGAACAGAGCTGCCCTTCCCTTGTAATATCACCAGAGGTTTGGAAGACTCATGCAGGTGACTTTTCTTTTCAGAATGACATAAACCTATAAGTATAAGTGATATATTTTTCTAGAGGCACAGCAACACTCAATTAGTATTGCCCTCTTGACTGGCTTATCTGCAAATGCAAGGACACACAAAAACTCAGCAGAAATGAGAAGGGGGAAGCATCCCATACTTATCAAGATACAAGCACCGCCTCTTGTTCATTTACCCAGAAAACACCGAGGCAGAATGCGTTTCATTGGAAGCAGTGAGAGCCAGGGAGAGGTCCAAATGCTTAGCTTTCAGTCCCAGCTCTTTGGGTTAGTTCAGGCCACTTGGAGCCTCAGTTTCCTCTCTGTGAAATGGAAATAACAGTTGGCAAGATGAAAAGAGATGACAAAAGAGATACGAAAATGCTTTATACATTGTAAAATATTATACAAGTATTAATTACTTATTAATCAGAGTGGTCTTGGGCAAGCTGCTTAACTTCTCTCAGGTTCCATATCCCATCTGTCACCTAGGAATAAATATTTACTGTGAGGTTTAGCAGGGTTTGAAAAGTCTAAGAAAGCACAGTGACGAATTATAATACTATTAATCCTTGCCATTAGTAACAGTGATAGTAATGGAGGTGATGGTGACAGTGTCATGAGGGGCCATTAGGAAAGCTCTCCCTTCACCACAGTAGAATATTTTTCTCAACCTGGGGCTCCGAATGCCAGAAGGTTCACTGTCATATTTAAGGTAAGCGATAGAAACCCATAAAGCTAGCTGGTCTCAGCTAGCAAAGGGCAAAGGCAGAGCCAGGCTTCAGGAACAGGATAGAATCAGGGACTGGAAGACTGGAAGAAACTTTAGAAACCCTCTCTCAAAATTTCTTTCTTGGTGGATCTACTTCATTCTTCTCTCCCTAGAAGGAAATGGCAGCCATTGCCAACAGCTCCCAGGTTTACATCCTCTCTGGCTGGGATTTCTTAGTCCCAAGCCCAGTCTCCAGGGAAGGAGCTCATTGGCTAAGGTTGAGTCAGATGTTCGCCCCTGAACCAATCATCAGTGACCTGCCCAAACACTAACCAATCAACTGTGAAGACGCAGTATACACAAACATGGCTGCTCCCATTGCAGCCATGGATGGATGGGAAATAAGTGACCAGAAAAAAACGGGGGTGGGGGGGCCAGAAAACCCAGTACTTCCTTTACACGACTTCTTTTATTCTCAGGAGTCCCTTTAACACCTTCTCTCTCATCTCATGCAGCCAATGGGGCTCTTCCTGACATCCTGCAGCAAGGTCAGCTGATAGTTGTGGACTATGCCACATGTTCCAGACCTGACTGGTGGGGCAGCACCGTGAAGACTAATATGATCTGTGCTGGGGGTGATGGTGTGCTCTCCAGCTGCAACGTAAGTGTCGAGTGTCATCCCTCCACAATGAAATGGGGCATGGGTGGGGAGAGGCTCTCGGAGTCCTAGAATCCATCCTCCCACCTTCGGGCAGAAGAACCAGGAAGCAGCTCCAGACATTTGAGACCCTGACCTTTGTGTAGTCTCCAGAAAATATGTTTTGAGATTTTCCTTGTATTTCCTAGTATTCCCCACCCCCCCAGTGCTGGGAAGTCCATCCTTGGATCTCATCGCAGTCTCTCATTACCACCATCTCTCTTATTCTTTCCTCTATGTAGGAAGGGAGCCAAGGGGATGTATTCTCTGGGTTAGGGCCTTTCTAAGGTGATGTGGAGTTCATCTGTTGAGTGAATCCCATTAATGGCCCAATGTGTCCCCTTATGGTAGCTGCCACAGAGCCTTCCTGGAGACAGTGTCTTAAACAAAAGTAATTGCTATGTAGTGGACTTTGCAGCAGAGCGAGGACAAAGTGAGAAGGCACCTCACAGGTTCTTAAGATCCTACTGGGCCCCTACAACTCTGTCCCCATGCAGACCGGCCCCCAAGAAAGTCCCTTATCATGGGTGGAAATGGCAAGTGATGGCTGAGCACATGGCATTCTAACTGTGGGACGTGGTCTCAGCTCCTTCACCTTCTGCCTAGTACAACCTCAGGCAAGTCACAACCTCTGAGAGCTTCAGTTTTCCCTCTTCAGTGAAGTGGGGATACTAACAATACTTACCCCATAGGCTTTTATGAGGATTAAATGAGAGAAGGCATAGAAAGTGCTTAGCTCAGTTCCAGGCACACGAAAAGAATAAATGTTCGCTCTTGTGGGTACTGTGGTGCCATCTTGAGCTGTGACCACAAGGGCTGGTCAGCGAACGTGGCGACTGGCAGTGGAACAATATAACTGCCCAGCAAACATGTGAGACATGGGGCTCTATGGGCAGCCCCTTCCCCTCCCATCGCCCGCCCAAGCTCCCAGTCCCTCCTGACAGATCTCTGGCCTTCCCCAGGGAGACTCAGGAGGACCGCTGAACTGCCAGGCGGATAACGGCCAGTGGGAAGTGCACGGCGTGGTCAGCTTCGGGTCCTCCCTTGGCTGCAACTACTACCACAAGCCCTCTGTCTTCACACGGGTCTCCAACTACATCGACTGGATCAATTCGGTAAGACCTGGACGAGCCCTGGGCGCCACAGGCCCTGCCCTGCTGACCTGGCCCCACGAGGGCAACGCCCACCTAGGGTGTGAGAACCCCCTCCTTCCTCCTGAGAGCCAGGCAGGAGCCCCTGAAGGAGGCTGCAGACCTGGGAAGCCCCTGCTGGGCACCCCCATGAGCCCCCACCATTTCTGTACGGACAAAGTTGAGCGAAAAGGCACATAGAGGGTGGCCTTGTCCAATGAGGTTGAAAACAAAGAACATTCCTCAGGCATTAAAAAGGGGTTCCTTAGGGTTAGTGGGGTGTGCTGTTTTTGCTTATCTGTGTGTAGACCCAGACCCTATCACCCAATGCTATAAACATATTTACCTGCAAAACCCCAAACCTGATAGGTTAAGATCCCCACAGCCTTAATTATTAGAAACTATTTCCCCTAAAGGGTCCCCCAACTATTCTGTAGGTCACAACCATCTTGGTTAGTCCTGGACTGGAAGGTTTCTTAGGAGGCAGGACTTTACGTTTTAGACCGGGACAGGCCAGGCGGTGGGACTGAGTGGGTCCCACTCTTTTTGTGCATGTGTCCCCAGAAAGCTGTCCCCTGGGAGCTCAAAACCAATGCCTCACAAGCTTCCACACCAGCTCACCTCCTATTTTAACAATGAACACGTATTTATAATAAAAACCATAAAAATTACTTTAAAAAAGAAAAGAAAAAAAAAAAGAAAACTGGCACCCATCTTGGGAGAAGCCATGGTTACAATCAGCAACGGGTGAAAGCAGCTACAAAAGGGAGAGTCATCATGAGAAAGGCGGGCCTGGGGGTGTCGGGGCGAGGTGGGGGGGGCAGGGGGAACTGAGGCAGGGAGGACAAGGCACTGTGCCTGGTGATGGATGCTGGGAGGGAAGAAGACACTCTATGCCAATTAGGGGCATTCTTTTACTTACTTCTTGGCATCGCCACCTCAGTTTGCTTTTCTGTAAGATAGGATTTCAACTGGACCAGGACTCCTCCACATTCTTAGGAGACAGAGCCCCAAAAGAAGGGGAAGCTGGCATCTGATTTCATTAAGTTTAATTTTCAGAGAACCGTTCAATTGACTCAAACGGACATTCCGTTACAAACTCAAATATGAAACCACAACCATGAGCATGTGTTCACAGGAGGAAAACTATGCTGTCAAATGGGCATTGTCAAAATAAGCAGGTGGTTTCCTCCAAGTTTCCCATTAATATTTGCAGGCTCCTCGTTCATTTGTCTGTCTGCTGGCATTTCTTTGCCAACAAGTAGTCACAGACACGAAAGATTCCAGAAAAGTTTGTTGGAGAAAAATGTAAAATCAAGAAGCGAGTGGCTATTCATTTGCAGGGTTTGTTTTTTGTTTTGTTTTGTTTTTGGTAAATTGGGAGACAGCCACGATTCCGTTTTGGCAGAGGAAAATGTGAGTCTGGCTTTTGAAGTGTCACCAGCATTTCAAAGGAGCCTGGCCCAAGACTGACTGGACGGAACGCTATTTAGAGGCCTTTCCCCCAGACAATTCCTAGGATCTTTTTTCAGCCTCAGCTGCTGCATGAATCATGGTGCAGCTGGGCCTGGCAGCACCTTGAGGGCCCAAAGGAGGGGCCGGGGCAATTGTCCTGATTTTCTGTCCTAGCATCAGCTTTTTCCAGCCAAAGACACAAGCACAACAGAGCAGGCCACGGCCGAAAGCATGTCCTGATGTCAAGGGGATCCCCAGGAAGAGCAAGCCTCGCGAGGCAGCTAGGCAGGGGCCGTGCGTTCTGGGGACAGTAGCGAGGGCAGGCACATATGCCTGGTGACGGGTTCCAGGAGTGGCAGAGCCAAGCAGCCAGCTGTCCTCTGGTGGAGGCTGCCCCGGCAGCTGCAGATGGGCCAGTGAAACCCTGCAGTGGTCTCAGCCCAGGGGCATGCCAGGAGACCCACACAGGTGCTTGGGAGCACCTGCCCAGACAAACCCAAAGAGGGGACGAATCAAGGTCAGGAAGTTGCCAACAAAAGGCTCGAGCAAGAAAGTGACAGGCGGAGACAGGTGGCCAAGGACATTATCCTTTCAACAAATGTTCCCTGAATGACAGTAACACATGAGTCTTCAGCATTCATGATTTTGTAATTTTTATATTAAAAATACTCTGTAAGAACATTAAAGGAATGAGTATATCAAGTAAAAGAACATAAGGCCCTCCCCCCTTGTTGTACATCTCCAATTCTACCCCCCGGAGCCAATCGCCATTATCAGATTCATCATCTGGAGACTTTATTTATGAACCATACATACACACTGTCTTCTAGCCAAAAATAGGGTTTTATGCTTCATAGTGTTCTGCAACTTATTTTTTCACTTAACACGGTTTCACATTTTACAGGTGAGCACATATATTTATGGCTTTTGAACAGCTAAATAATATTCCACAGTATGACTATAATGAATGAAACGTGCACGTGGTTCCTGTTTTCCACTCTCACACATTCTTGCACATTGGTTGAGTATTTGTGCTCTAGATATTCCGCAGCATTTCTGGACCACGGAGTTAGCGTGTTAAAACATGTAAGAGAAAACTGCTCAACAGCCTCTGAAAACAGTTTCCAGCCCCGCCCCCAGCGCATAACAGCACCATGTAAACAGCAGTGCCTGTGAATCACTTCAAGGCTGTCAAACCCTTGAAACAAACGAAATCTAAAAACCTGCCCATCCACACATTCAGCGTATAATTGGTAGCTCCCCTAGCGGGTCAGTGAAAAGCTGTGATAACATCTTTTTCTCCTGAACATTATTCGAGCTCCACAGAGAGGCTGTTTCATCGCAGGCCGCCTCTGATGGACACGAGCAGCCAGGAGCCTGGAAAGAAACGCTGGGGACACTGCCAAGCCCAGGTCTCCACTCTGCTGGGTTAACCTGGTTATTTTCTTGTTATGTGTCCTGCAGGTGATCGCAAATAACTAACCACCAGAAGTCCCCGGGACCGTTTCAGACTTGGAAAGGTCACAGAAGGAAAATAAAGTGACAACTACACGAATTACACCTGGGTGAGAGTCTTATTAGTGAACTATCCTCACATCCAGCCTCTAGAAGCCAAAGGAGACCTAAATGACCTCAGGGTCGGGGCCTTCTCTGGGGAAGCCCAACATGTCACTGTCACATAGCACAGTCACCCTGCCATGCAGGGTCCTTCGGCCAGGAAGGCACCTGGAGGGACAGGCTGGACTGAGAACACCCAGGTCCGGCCAGGTCTCTTCACTGGTGAACTGTGTCCCCCTGGACAAGCAACGTGACCTCCCTGCGCACATGGCTCCCACTCTAGTCACCTTCCTGGGAGGTGAGGATCAAATAAAATAAGAGATCAGGAAATGTTTAGAAAAAAAAGCAAAAGCCTCCTTTATAGGGAAGAACAGAGTTGAAGCAAAATAAGAAGTGGAGGCAGAACAGACAAACGAGATTCCATATTCACCTAAGATTTTTTTTTAAAAGAATACTGCAATACAGGAAAAATTAATAATTTTTAAGACTTCATTTAAGATTCACAGATTCCAACTGTTCAGACTCCAGTAGCCCTAAACTTGCTGATCTAAGAGAGATGCTGGTTTGTTTGTAGCTAAAAAATTCCCATAGTTCAGTGGTTCTCAGGAGGGGACATTTGGCAATGTCTGAAGACATTTTTAGCTGTCACTATTCAGGGAGAGGTGCTACTGGCATCTTAGTGGGGGTAAAGGCCAAGGATACTGCTAAACATCTTACAGTGCACAGGACAGTCCCCACAACAAAGGATTATCTGGTCCCATGTGTCAATGGTGCCAAGTTCGAGAAGCCCTGCTCTGGAGAAAATGCAAAGGTCGCAGGCCACAGTCATCAGCCAGGGAACCAGCCACGTGGAAAGCCATGTGCTGTCCACCGCACTCTTCAGCTCCTCTTCGTCCATCACCTGTCATTTGTCCCCAATTTGGAAGCGGCTAAGAGCCTGTCTGCCACCAGTGGGGAAAGGGCAGACCCTCAATGGGCTACAAAATCCTTCAGGGTGTGACAGCCGTAGTTCCGGGAAAACCCAGGCCTCAGTGCCGGGCCTGAAACAGGAAGGTTTTGGGGTGAAAGGTAAGGCAGGATGAGGGGTTCCGGCTTCATTAAGTTTTAAAGAAGAGTTTTTTCCGGAGGAAATTGAAACAACCAGGAATCTGTTTGTAAATCCCTTTCTCCGAAACAGCATTAGCAACCTGTGAAAACATGACCACAAGGACATCTGTGAGTTCTCTCAATGAAGTAAGAACGCTTTGATCTCTAGAATCGAAGAGGGCCTGGGGGGAATGTCCCCTGAAGAAGAATGTTAAACTGCTCTATCTGCAGCTCCTTAGGGTGGGGTGGGGTAGGGTGGGGGGTTTAAATGACAAACATGACAACCATAAGTTTAGAAAACTCAGAATTCAAAATTTCAAACTTCAAAAATTCACAAAGCTTGAATCAGATTAAAAGGTTTGCTTAAAGAAAAGTTGAGAGAAGCGATGGGACCCGGGAACTGAGTGCATTGCTTGGCCCTGACAAACCCCTCCCCCCACTCTGGAGGGCCCCAGGTGGACACTGAGGGTCACCTGCCCAGGGCCACGGTGCGTGATGGTCCTGCACTTGGCTTTTCTCTTCCACTCCACTCAGCAAAGCCAAGCCAGAGCCAACTCAGGAGAAAGGAGTGGTCCCAGCCCTTACAACCTGGGCAGAGCAGGGGGGGCCCATGTGTGCTCTGGGGGTCTCACTAAGTGAGGCTGGGGCCCTCTCAGGTCATCCTCCTCTGTTCTCTGTCTGGGACCTCCCAAGAAGGGGACATACTGAAGAGAATTCATGGTTCCTGAGGGTCAAGAGTAGATGACCACACAGTGAGGCGAAGGGTGCGGGGACGGCCCTATGACACGCCTTCGGGGGTGCCATGCTCTGTCCACTGAGCCATCCAACCCTGGTCAGTAGTGGGGGCAGTGGGAGGTATCAGCCTGGGGACCCCAGAGCAGCAGGGGAAGGCAGCCCTTGAAATAAGGAGCAAATGTCACCACAGGCAGAAACATCTTGCACTAAGAAAAGCAAAAGCACTGACTTGTAGCAAGCCATTATGCAGAAGCAAATGGGGTTTCACCATCTTTTACCTGTGGTCCACCTGCTCCCCCACCACCCCGCCTTGTGGAGGACACACTGCCCCTCCCAGCAGCCCCCCGACCCCCCTTGGAGGAAGGCGACCCTCACCCTGAGCAGGAGGCTCTGCAGGTCTTCAGAGCGAGCCCACTGCTCAAAAACGCTATCCAGGGTCTCGATGTACCAGGAGCCGCTCTTGCGCTCCCTCCAGGAGACAAAACCTTTGGAAGGAGAAAGGCGGACATTTGTGGGAGAGCCGCCCCCTCCCCACGCAGGCAGGCAGGGGTCACCTCCAGCAGAACAGCCCACGTCTCTGTGCTCTGTCCCACTCGTGATCTTATTTCTTCCTCACCACCACCTTGTGACGTTGGTCATGATTCCCATTTTCCCAACTAGGAAACCAAGGTTTGGAGAAGTCAAGTGACTCCCCTGAGGGACAAGAAAGGAAGGACACTAACCCCTGTCACACCTGCTGTGTGCCAGGCACTGCACTCAGTAATCTGCCAGCCACCTTGTTAATCCCCATGACAGCCCAAGGTATGATTATTCCCATTTTAAAGATGAGAAAACTGAGGCAAAACTAGAATGAGGGTGAGGTGCACAAACCCAAGGGTGTGTGCCTCCTTAAATTTTGCATCCTAGGCGCCTTGCCTGCTTCGCCCTGGGCTGAGGCTCAGAGAGGTGAAGTAACTTGCTCAGGGTCACACAGGTGGCAAGAGGCAGAACCAAGACTCACATCCAGGCCTTTTCTTTTACAACACAATTGCTTTTAAGGCAGATGGGAGGATCCGCCAGCCGATCACTCACCTGGGAAGGTGGAGTAGGACACAAAGATGTCACTGGGTGTAGGCAGACTGGACACAGCATCCGGCAGGTCGTAGCTGCCTGGGTCATCCTGGAACGGAGCAGCGTCTGGCTCAGGGTTACTGTCAGGGGCCCTGTCCTCAGGGGAAGCAGAGGCCACCTCAAACCCATGGTCTTTCTGATCTGCAGGAAGCAGAAACAGACATCACTGGTCACTGAGACACACAGACCAGAGCTCCTGCTCCATGCAGTCTGTCCACAACCCAAGGCCGCCTGATTCCCTCCAGAACCAGGGTTCCTGTGCTGGGCAAATACATAGGAAACCGAAATAGAAGCTGTACTATGTTCTACAACAAAAGTTTTATACACCCATTAAGTAAAATGGGGGGGGGGCAGGAGGGCAGGGTGAAGAAATTTAAAAAACTGCTATAAAAATTTACAAGTATATACCCAAAAGAATTGACAACAAACGTTCACAGCAGCATTACTCACAATAGGCAAAAGGTGGAAACAACCGAAGTGTCCATCAACAGATAAATGGATAAACAAAATATGGTACAGCCACCCAATGGAACATTCTTCAGGCTTAAAATGGAATAAAGTTACTGACACATAATACATGTGGATGAACCGTGAAAGTGTGCTAAGTGAAAGAAGCCAGAAACAAAAGGCCTCATAATATGATTCCATTTACATGAAATATCCAGACTAGGCAAATCCATAGAGAAGAAAGCAGACTAGTCATTGTCTGGGGCTGGGAGGAGGCAGGAATGGAGAGTGACTCCTATGGGTACAGAGTTTCTTTTCTGGGGTGATGAAAATATTCTGGAATTAAATAGTGGTGATGTACTTAAGGTAAATGTACTTAATGCCACTGAACTAACTGTACACTTTAATAGTTAAAAGGGCAAATTTTATGTCATTAAAAAACAAGTCACATTATTCAACCTTAAAAAGGAAGGAGGGCCAGCCGAGTGGCGCATTGGTTAAGAGCTGGCTTGGGACACCAGAGGGCCCTGTTTCGGATCCCACATATGAGGGCCAGTGACACTGCCCTCTACAGCTAAGATGCTGAACAACAGCTCAACCTGGAGCTGGGCTGCCCTGAGTCGCTGGCGACAGCGTGGGCTGCAGCCCCTGCTGCAGTGGGTTGCCATGGGCTACTGTGTGTAGCCAGCAGCCAGCGTGAGCGGCCAACAGCCGCAGTGAGTGGCCGTCCAGAAGCCGGCGACTGATCTGCCTCGCCAGGGAAGAGCGCAATGATGGTGCCAACTTGGGCCAGTGAAGCAACGTCCTCCACAACTAGACTGAAGAACAAAAGGACAGCAACTTGTCTGTTCTTCCCCTTCCCCCAATTCCCCAGAGCTGTTCCCATCCCCCCAATTTCCCAATAAAAAAAAAATCTTTAAAAAAAAAAAAAAGGAAGGAAATTCTGATACATGTTACAACATGGATGAGCCTTGAGGACATTATGCTGAGTGAAATAAGCCAGACACAGAAAGACAAATACTGCATGATTCTGTTGGGTTGTTGGAAAAGTCATAACGCATTTTTGCAATAAAAAACATAGAAAAAATACATCATGGCTTTTCCAACAACCCAATACTTCTATGAGGAGCCTAGAATGAGTGGTCCAATTCATAGACACAGAAAACGGAATAGTGGTTACTAGGGGCTGTGGTGGGTGTGGGTAGTTAGTGTTTAACGGGGACAGAGTTTCAGTTTTGCAAAATGAAAAATGTTCTGGAAATGGGTGGTGGTGATGGTGGCACAACAATGTGAATGTACTTAATGCCACTAAGCTATACACTTAAAAATGGTTAAGATGGCAAATTTTATGTGCATTGTATGTACTACAATAGTTTTAAATTAAAAAAAAAATACCAAAAGAGGAAAAAAAAATTACCAAAAAAGGTCACAGAATAGTATATGAAACATATACCCATTTGGCATATAGATGATAGATAAATAGATAAATAGGAAAGAAAGAGAGGAAAAAAAATCCGGAAGGAAATACACCAATTGTTACCAGTGGCTACCTCTGAGGTACAAGCCTGGGCGTGGGAATGGCAGAGGACTTTACTTTTCACCTTTCTATACCTCTGAAGCCTTTGATATTTTTGTGTGTTAATTTTAATGAGCATGAACCACTTTTGATCTCATCAGTTTACACGGGTCATTTCGTAATTGGCTGCTTTTTTAAACATTTATAGCCTCTTCCCGACCACACATTCAATCTCCACAGAATGATTCTAAAACAAAACAAAGCCCAGCCATATTGGCAGACAAAGACAGCCATGGCTAACAGTCAGCTGTCTCCTTCCAGTCATTGGTCAGTTTTTTTACCTGGTTATTTGCAGGTTCAACTAATCATGCTTTTATTCACCAATCACAACATCACGAGGATTTTCCTTGGGTTATTATAATCATGGTCAATGACACAGATGGAGACACACACACATACGGTGTACCCCTGGGGTACAGAGCACCAACACAGGCACTGAAGAAGACACAAAGTAAGAAGACAGGGTCCTCTGTCTAGACACCTAAACGCCCAAACTGAAAAAATATGCATTGAGACTTGGATAGAAATTTTTTTAAAAACTATATAAAACTCACCTTTCTGGGGGGGGGGCTGGGAGGGTGGGGATAGGAATATAGTTGAGGAAGTTTCCACTGTTATCACACAGTGCCCCCTTTAAGACAACCGAGGGGAGAAAAATCGCCATCCTTGGCTTCTGTCTTACAAATACCACATGAAGTGGATCTTCTGTGTGAGTCTACCTTATCTTATCTTACCTCAGCTGCTGGAAATACACAAGCCAAACTTGCAGGCCACCTCTGCAAGCAGGCAGGACCTTGCAGGACGCATTTCTAGATTCCAAACTTCTTTGGATTCCTCCCAGCAGCTCCTCTAGTTTGTTCTACGTCATTTGTATTTCTGAATGATACATCACAAATCCTCTTACGGAAATGAATCAAAGAAGGCATCAAGTCACAGGTAACAGGATCCATGGAGATGCTTACAGCTTCTGACCCAGTAATATCTTAAGGAAATAACTCAGATGGTGCCAAAGCCCTCTATATAAAGACATTTGTGGTCATGTGAGCCAAAAATTGGGTTATCACCTAAATGGCCAACATTAAGGAAGTGGTTTAGCAAATGATTGCATATCCCTGAAATGGAAGAGTATAAAGCATGTGAACTAGTGCTGATGAAGACTGAGATGTGGGGAAAAGCTTAAGGGGTAATGATAGAGGAGGAAAGCAGACTGAGCCCGCAGGCCAACAGCCAAAGGTAAGAGCCAAAAATGAGATGTGTGTGTCAGCCTCGCGGGATTCTGCATGACTTTAAGTTGTCATCTTTTCTGTCTTTTCAGTTTTAAAATCCAAACTCCCCCAAAGCAGTGGAAGGCCTGGAAAACAGAGGGGGCAGGGCAGGACCGTAGCCACACACAGCTCAACCACAGAGCCATCAGGGTGGTGATACTGCAGGAGGTGCCCCGAGGTGAGTTCCTCGGAGTACAGCCGGGTACAGCAGGGGGCAGAGGGGGCACTCCAGTGGAGGATGACCTAAGAATGGCCTAAGGAGACAGGGATGGGCAGAGGGACCGCCTGTGGAAAATGGAGCAGAGAGAATGAGATCTAAGAGGAGGATAAGCTGACAAGAGAAAGAGTGGGTCAGGCAGGATGCTGGCTGTGTCACCATTCACAGGTCATCCTCACCCTACGGGTCTGACGTGAAGGCCTAGCTACGGGGTTATACAGTTTATGCCCGGCTTTGCTCTGAAAGCATCTCGATAATTCAAAACTCCCTGTAAGGCAGGACTAACTTCCCATAAGAATAAATATACAGAGGGAACAGGAGCTGTTCGCTCAGCACATAAAATCCACCAGCACTGTCGCATGCGGTTCCTCCTTCTGCCTTCCCAGCATGATCTCTCAAATTCTGAAGAGGGGTGACCCAAAATTAACAGCTCGGCCCAACAGAGGTCGCTCAGCTTTGGCCAAGAGCATCGTCACACCGTGTCACCTTGTATCATGCCACTTGCTCACTGACATTCCACACCAAAGTTACTGACTTTGAGGTACATTTTTCTGCCCTGGGGCCCACACTACCTCTTCATGAAGGGGTGGATGACCGTGTTAGAGAACTTGAAAGTGGTTTTGAACTGTAACAACAGTAAACTTTAAAATAGCAACGTAAGAGTCACCAAAATCCAGGGCAGATGTTCTAATTCAGGGAGACCACAGGACACCCGCCAGACACGGATAGAGACAGGGACATTGGGGTATTTCTGTTCTCAGCTGACGTGCCACCCCCATGTGGCAACAGTGTTAAACTCAAGGTCACACAGCCTGCTGGGGGCTAAGCAGGGACCGGACAAAGCTCCAAAGGCAGCTACATTCCAACTTTGGAATCTTGCTGTTCCCAGTGAGTCGTTTTGGTTTGTTTTTTGGTTTTCTTTGTTGTTGTTATTGTTTTAATTGGGGACTTGGGGGATGGGAACAGCACTGGGAAATTGGGGGAACGGGAACAGACAAGTTGCTGTCCTTTT